ACCACGACGACGACGACGACGACGACGACCACTACCACTACCACTACCACTACGGCTACGGCTACTCCTACTCCTACGCCTACTCCTACTCCTACTACTACTACTACTACTACTACTACTGCTACGACTACCACTGCTGCTACTACTACTGCTGCTACTACTACTACTACTACTACTACTACTACGACGACGACTAGTACCAGTACTACTACTACTACTACTAATAATAATAATAATACTACTACTACTCCGACTGCTACTACTACTGCGACGACGACTATGACTGGTACGACTGCGACTACGACTACGAATACGACTGGTACTACAACTACGACTACGACCTCGCCTGCAACTAAGACGACGACGGCGACGACTACTACTGCTACGACGTCGAATCTACGACTGCGCAATATCGACGATTACGATTACCACTGCACTGTCGTTACCCACACTACTACGGCTTGCTCGCTCCACAAACATGAAAACTATCCCGAAAAGCCTCCCACGGACATCTGCGGCACCCTGGCGCGGACTCGTATCCTGCGATGCTGCGGGATTCAGGAGCTCAGGGATGTTAGCAGTTAGCACGGACGACCACGATGCCTCTTTTTTGCGCCTCGCCTTGTAGCTGTCAAGCCCAAGCTAACTGAAGACTGGCATGCGCGTCGCGAGCCAAACGAGGTATTCAGATAGAGAATTCTCCCCTTTAAAGGCTTGGCGTCTTTGTGCTGAGCTCGAAGATTGCACACCACGCACAAATACCTCTTCCCAAGCTCCGTTCTCGATGCCTCATTCCTAAGCCCAGCCCATGAATTCAAGACCCAAAGCCAAGGCTGCAAACACCAAGCCATCTGAACCCTTAGCCTGACATTATTTTCAACGAAGCCCGAATCTTACCTTTACGTACTCCCTAAGCGCAACGTGAAGGCCTGAATCTTGCCCGGCAGTGGTGCTGTGGCCGCCAAGGATGCTCGCGCCGAGAGCGGCGCAGGAAAGGAGGGTCTGCCAGCGAACTCGAGGGCTCCGAGATTCAGGCCGTTTCGTCTAAGTCTGGCTTCGGCACTGTCGGGAGGGCAGGTATATGTTCCCCAAGATTGGCAGGCTGGAGCTATTTTGCAGATTCGGAATACGTCTGCCATTGCGATTTGGGCTGCAGCATCCAGTACGTATCAGTCCAACTGTTCGTACAGTCCGCGAGCTGCCAGATGCAAAGACTGCAATGTCAGCAAAAGCCCAACAAATCCTAAATCATGAGATGCCTTCTGAGCCCGCTTCGCTGCCTAACAAAGTCCTCCGGGAAGTCGCCAAAAGGCGACTCCTGGCCCTTTGGAATCCTCCAAAAGATGGCTTGGACTTTTTGGGCTCTCAGACTCCGTGGCCCTGCAAGCTTGCACACACTTGCAGACTCTGCAGCTTCCGCGACTCGCGCACTGTCACGAAAACCGGGGCTGATATGATGAAAATTCGGGTCCTGCCAAGGCGTTTGTCGATGCGACGACGACGGAACCTGGGAAGTGCAGTCATCATTTTTCTCTGCACCGTGCTCCTATGTCTTTCGAAGACCATTTTTATTGCGAGATACTACCAATCTCTACCCTCTTCCTCCTCCTGCTACTGTTGCTGCTGCTGCTGCTGCTGCTGCTGCTGCTGCTGCTGCTACTGCCACCGCAACCATTACTATTTAATAACACAAGAAATCAGTACCATTTGTGCCAGTTGTCCCCTGTCACGATCATCCTGAATAGTGTCCTTAATGCTAGTATCGGTGCAAACACCAATGCTTTTGTTGTTTTTCACTTGTAGATCTTGCACGCTTGCTAAAACTTTTGGTCTGAAAACGATTGTTGTCCGCAATCTCACCGGTGTGCAGCTATGAGTTGGTGATGGTGCTTTCGCTGAGGCAATGCCTGGCACCCCGGCTTCTTCTGCCGGTCAAACTGGTCTGCCAGCTGCAGCAGCGCCGCCGCAGAGATCTTGTTCGACATGGCCTCTGACACATGCACGCTGCAGGAGGGTGAGGCATGGCTTTGTGGGTTACACGGAAGTGTAACCGTGGCCCAGATGACAGAATACACCTCAGTCGCAGCTGCGCAGTGTGGTGGAACACTCTGCGCCCGGAAGGTCCTGTATGGTTCTGCATGTTATACCAGCATTCTCAGGTGGTTGCTTTTGGCAGGGGAGGTCTTGGTATTTCTTGCCGCAAAGGCGCGGGGCGGCAGATTTCTTAGCCTTGTTCAAGCCCGGGCACACATGATCCAGCGATTCCGAGTGCCTCTCTTGACACGTGCCGTAACTTGCAACTAAAAAAAGGGGCAGGGCTACCATCCCGAAGTGCTAGCATTGATTTCTCTTGTTCGGGACCCCTGCACCTGCCCAGCAACGTACGTTAGACACCTAGGCCAACATGAAATCTGCGGCTAACTGCAAGCAAGTGGCCCGATCCCCCAGACTCAGCAACAACCACAAGTGGCTGGCGGGGAAGGCAAAATGCTTGAGGTGAGCACAGCGACAGAGCAAATGCTCATGCAGCCAGAATGACGAGCTACCAATTTTTTACATTGTCTCGTGGGTGTGAGATTAAATGACAGAGATGTCCTGGCTCACTGTCTCTGCGCCTTTTTCTCTTCTGCAGGTTACAGCATGTTACAGCTGTGCTCGTCCCCAAACAGAGCTTATGCCGGAGGACTGCTGGCAATTAAATAAGAATGCATGCAAACGTGACTCTCAAGATTCGGTCTCGCTTCGAAGACCCCAAAAAGGCGCCTCGGGAGGATCGCCGCAGCTCTGACTCAAGAAGACGCTGAGCTCTCCGACTGAAACTGCATGGAGGCCCCCTTCTTCATGTCCCCCAGGCTGACGCAGATGCCGAGCTTTGGAAAGCAGTTCAAGAAGCACATGTTGACCATGCAGGGCACTTCGGAGTCCGGAGGGAGAGCAGATCCGGCCACGCAGCAACACATCTGGCTTTGCACCTTGCAGCATGTCGTAGGGGCCACACAGCGGAGGGCACAGCATCCGCAGCACAAGAATGGTGTCCCGGTCTTGCAGCAAATGTCAGCTTCACAGCACAGGAGAGTCTTCTGCGCAGCGCAGCCGATGTTGTTGCATTCGGGGACGCAGCCGTCGTAGCAACAGCAGCAAGCATGGTGCACGATCACCTGCAGGGGGCTTTTCAAGGTAGCTGCTAGACCTCAAAACAAGTCCTTGTACGGGTCCAGGGGTCCAGGGGAGGTAAGAATAGTATAATGATTCGAAGACTGTGTTCGTTCTCACCACCTGAGTCTCGTCGATGGAATCCATCTGAACCTGCCTTGGGGCGGACATGTCTAAGAAAAGTCGTGAGGTGACAGAGTAACCCTGCTCTTGAGCCAGATGCTTCGAGAGACTTCTCCGGCAATGCTAGCATTCATGTTATGAAGCTGCAGTTATCGCCGCTCAAATGGCGAGCACGCCCGTACTTGCGCAGCCGTACATGTTGCCGAGGACTGGTAGCTCAAATTCACCCTTGCCGCAACTGCTGACGAATAGCAATCTGACATTGATCGCAGCCACCAAAGAACAAGATTTTGAATGCCGTGTGTGAAGTCTGATGTCAAGGGACTTCCACACTAGTTGGACCACTAAACACCCTACTATTCAGCAACACATTGCGGAAGCACGAGCTAGCGGCAGCAGCAGGAGAACCCGAACACAATGCCCCCGAACACAATGCTGCTACAACCAGGACAACAAAGGTTGCAGCCACTTTTTCCCTTGGTGCAGCAAACCTAGCTGGAGCGATGGAGCTCCAACTGACGGACTGACTTTCCCCCCAAAAGAGGACATAAGCTCGGGAAAGAAGCATGCCTCCTTCGATTGGGAGGGAACGACTCATGCAACTAAGCAGACAGCTTTCGAAGCAGCTTGGTAGCAGCTTCATCGCTGAACCCCGGAATCGAAAAGAGCTGCAGTATGCAGCTGTTCTGAGGCAAGGATCACTCGGCTGCGGCAACTGCCTCAGAGGCCAACCGCTGTTTCTTCAGGCTCTCCACCTGACCATGACGGTTTCGGCCGAGCGGAAATGAAAAAATAAAGAACAATGGAGGGTGCAAGCCACAAATGAGAAGATGACAATACAGCTTGAAATTTGAGAGGCCTGGACTGAACTTAATCAAAAAGCCCGAAACCAATGCATGCGACAAATGGCCTGAGAAATCAACTTTGAGGTTTTCAGCTCATCTGCCTCTTCAGCTTCTACAAACCGAAGCCCAACCTGTTGAATCGAAATTGTCCGCTGAAGCTCCTGGCGGAAGGTGAAGTCGGACTTTCTTGTAACGGAAGGCACAGGCCACTCCAAGGGTCCTTCTTCAGGAGCTCACGCAAGTCTGCGCCCTGGCCGGAAACAAAGCTGACTTGAGTAAATGCACAGCACAGGCACTTACAGGACACGCCAAAGATCGCGCACACACACGCTGCCACTCATCAACGGATTAAGTCTGTCAATCTGACCTAAGAATCCCCTTGCCGAACTGGGTCACGGGGAGCTTCCGCAATACTGCCGTGTTATGTTGGTTGTGTTCGTTTTCAAGTTCTTCACTCGCACATATTCACGCTTCGCTAGGCAAGCTGCACCCATAAATAAATGTGCTCGGTTGTGACTGCGACCCTCCAAGCGGCTGTGCCTGGTTTGTTGCTGCATGGAACCAGCGCATTCTGCATGCAGTGAGGAAAGTTTCAAACCACACAAACCCCCAGTTTGGAAAGTTTCAAACTACACAAACCCCAATGGCAATCAGACCAGTCTGCAACTAAAGCCTAAATCTGTATCTGCATCTCGCCTCGGCAGGGGTGACAATGAGCTCCGCGGATCCTTCTTCCTGGTCCTCCGTTCGGCTTAGACTCCATGACACACGGCGATTGGCTTTGACTATAGTTCTGGCAGGCTGGACATCTTGCTCCAGAGGCGACAGGTCCCAGCGCTGCACCGCGAGTGCGATTAGGGAAGCTCGAGAAGGTGAGGGAAGTGTCCAATGAGGCGCTCCACTTCGGCTCATCCGTTGTCATCCTTGCATGTTCGTCGTTTCATGTCTGTCCGACGAGACCCCCAGCCTGCACACGACCGTCAGCGTCAGCTGCTGGAACTAAAGCCCCATACGGGCGGACGGGCGGCCTCCCAGCCAGAAAGGCCTTCTGAAAGCTAAGAGGAGACAACTGCACAACGGGACGGCTTGCAAAAAAAAAGTGCAACAAGCACAAAAGCAGCCGCTGAGATCCGGAAACAGATCAAGAACCCTAAGAAGATGTCCTCCCAGTCGAAGGACAGCCGGGGCCCCAGGATCTGGGCACTTTCCTCTCATCAGGGCTCGGGGTTCCGAGGAACTTCAAACAAAAGCCCGAGTCCTGCTGCAACTTTTTGGCTTGTGTCAAACTGAGCTGAGCGGCCTAAAGCATTGCAGTATCCCAAACACCAAAGGCCTACGGGCCTCCGGCCAGAGGCTCACGAAGACCCCTGAAGCGTCAGCCGGGGCCCTTCAGCCCAAGAAAGCATTCCACTGAAAGATGAACACCTGAAATTCGCAGGGCCCGCACAGTCTAAGACGAAGGCTCTAAATGCACAAACAGCGCAAGGCCCGAAGGCATGAGACCTCAAACCACCTCCGAAAAAGGTGCCTACAAACCCTCGAAGCCGGAAAGGCCCAGGAGCCCAAACCTCCCGGGAGCTGCACAAAAACCTACAAAGAAACCATCTACGCAACCTTTTCCAAAAAAACACAGTATCAACCGAAGACGCGCGGAAGCCAGGCCAGGCACCGTCTCCAGGTCTCCGCAAGGCCCTGGCTGCCTGGCTGCGGCCGTGGCCTCAAGGCAGTCGCTGGCAAGGCCCGGAGGCGAGTCCAGCAGCCCCCCAGGCAGCATCCAGATTTGAGAAAGTGGCCTGGGGTGCACCCCGGCCGAACAGAAACGTTCGCTCCCGCCATCTCTTCCCCCCCCGTCGTTTTCGTCATCGGGGAGATCCGGCAAGAGCTCGACGCTCCGAGGCCCTCAATCCAAGTAGGGAAAAGTGCCACCCGAAACTCCAAGTTGCGCGACTTGGGTTGGATTTGAGCACTTGGCCAGACAGCCCACTTCTCAGGAACAGAAGCTTTTCCCCCTACGATCCCTCACACGGGTACTTAGCTGGGGCCACGGAGAAAGGGCTTGGGGTGCGGGGTGGCCGAACCAAACACGCACACACGCACAGGCAGCAAGACTAAGAGAAAAAGCAATCTCAGCTGATCTCCTGTTGGCTGCGCAGACTCAAACAGTATTCCCTTCGCGCGTGGGGCAGTGCCTGTACGACCGGCGAAGAGACACGCTCCCAGGAATCGAGACCCGGTTCGAACGTCCTTTACAAGCTTAACTGTGTCTTCGCGGGTACATAATTTCCAACTCCCCCGCAACCCGGGCCTGCCGTCGAAGGTTATCAGCCAGGTCCTGGTGACATGCATCGGAACAGAAGGCTTAGTGAGCAAAGCGAGCTCTGAGCACTCACCACATCTGGACCCTTCACCCAGCACATCCGATCCCCGGAGCTCCTGTCGTGAACAGCTTTCGGGCGCCGCCCTAGCACTGGCCCGGTTGCTCTTGGGAGAGTTGTTAGGGTCTGGATCCTAGATCTATCCGCGATGCAGCCTTAAGTTGAGCAAGGCAGCCTGAACCACCAACTTGGACTCAGCAGCAACGGGCCGCACAAAGCATCCCTCGTGACAGCACACTGCTCACTTCCCGAGATGACTGAACCGACCGATAAGAAGCTAGAGGCTCCTACATTCCGAATCTTATAGGTGCAATTGCGACCTCTTGGCGGGGAACACTGGGACCGCCAGGGGCTTGTGCTTCGCGCCGACACGCGTCCTTAGAACATGAGGCCGTGGAGGCTTGAGGGAGCAAGATCTACCGGCACAGTATCGTGGTGCATGTTGGTCGTGCGACCACGGGATTCCACGCTGTCCTCAAAGTCTACACCGCAACCCCGAAGAACCCGCGTCACTAGATCGATAGCTTACCAATCCCGGCAAACCAAGAGGCTGCGGAGCTGGTCGGACTGGCTGCCGACACTGCATCTGCTCCTGTCAACGGAGCATGTCCGTCAAGGAAAGACTTTGCTCGGCATGTTCGAATCAAGGAACCCAAAATCTGCACCGGCGCAGGCAAAGCGAGGGCGCAGAATGATCGTAAATAGGCTTGATGCACTCCTTCTGCTGCAGGAGCGTCTGCCTCACGTCTGCAGCAGAGCGCCTGCTGCACCTGCAGTGCTGCTTGGGTCTCCAGACGAAGGCCACGACTTCTGGAAAACACTTCGGCTTCTCCCCCAACCAACTCTCCCATCTTTTTGCAACGCCGAGACTGCTGCATTCGACAAACATGTTCACTGAGCCTGTTGCACAAACAAGTTGAAGACACTCTTTGGGGTTTATATCTGAAATAGCTACATGTACCAAACCCTCACACGTTCCACCCGAAACTGGCAACGACTGAGTATACAAACGCAAGGTTTGAGCCCAAGCATCTGAAAAGAGACTGGCCACACAAGCGACAGGAAACATCCCGAAACCGCTAAGAACCAAAAGCTGTCGGTCAGCACCTCTGACCACAGCTTTCGAGTTCTGCACGCTCTTCAGAGGTCAACGCCTGCCACTCCTGCCGAGCTCGACAAAATGGAAGGCTAAGGCACTTCGGGTTTTGGACTTTGTGAGCCTCTATAGTGGAAAACAAGATCAAGTCGGGAACCCGAAAACAAAGCGGCGCACGGGAACACCTCCCCGCAATGCGTGGAAAGCACAAGAATCAATAAGCCTGATTCGCAGAATCAGCCGCGCCTCCTCCGATGGATTCAGAAATAATTGGACGGGCAACCCCTAGACTGGACACCACCAGCACTCTCCAAACCAGAAACCCCATGTCAATCCAGCCATAACCCCTTGAGCACCTTTCCCGACATGGTGCAAAACCCACAGGCTCCGAAGTACTTCTTGGGCCCCTGGCGGCTTGGAGCTGAGCGGCCGTACGATGCTCGCCGGCCTGCAAAAAAGCGGAAAAGCATCCAGGGCTGAGGTGCAACAAAGCCCCAAAGCTGTGACTTCAAGTGACTGGATGTGATGCATTGCGTGTGCATGGTGTTCAACCTCCACTCCGTTGACTAGATTCCTATGAAATCCCTCACGACAAAGTCGGAATGCAATGAAGCTGAAGTTTGGGAACGAGCTGAGGGGGTTCAGCAAACGCTTCTACAGGTGGCTTGCATCCCTTCGACTAACTAGAGGATCATGGGACTTCGTAGGTAAAGTTATAAGTACCTTCATTGGTCCTCCGACCTGGATGTTACTCTGATTGCCTGCCTGCATTCTTCATGCTGTGGGGCCGTCAGAGTTTGCAAGGAAGGCTGGAGAGCGTCACTCGAGAAACGAAGCCCAAGGCCCGACTGGTGCAGGCGTCTGTGTCCCTGGAAGACATGCCCTTGGACAAGGCACCCCATGTAGATTAGGCTCCGTTCTTTGTCCGTCTAAGTTCTGTATCCCGGTCCAAACCACTCTACTAAGTTCTGCTACATGCAGTGGCACGTATGTCTCGTCGAGTCTATCGTAACTGTCGGGGCACACATCTCTCTCGACATGTGGGTACAATCTGACTCTCTTTCAACGTCACGAATCTTGGATGCCTGTCTTGCTATCCCATGGGAAACAAGAACCGGAAGAGGCTGGAACCCATCTCAAACTTACAACAAGCCTTGAAAACACCTGCCCCCGTCGCCGAACCCTCAAAAGGAGCCAAGAAAACTCCCAAACCGACTTAGAACTCAAGCGAAGTCCGGGCCTCTGCAAGGCTCTTTCGGCGACTGCAAGGATCGAGTGTGAGGGACTTGAGGGTGTGTCGACTGTGCTCGTCAATCTCGAAGCTTTAAGGGGAGACTCCGGCTTTCGGGGTGCACTTTGGGCTCTAGGGACTCGATGGCTCTTGATTGAGGAAGGATGAGAAGGGGAGCGCCATGCAAAACGACCGAAGAACGACACCCCAGTGCCCTGAACGTTCAGGCTTCCTCTTCTTGCTCCTATTCGGCCCGGGTTCCCATAGCCCTAGCTGCTTTCCTGTGTGCCGGCTTGAGCATCTACGGTCTTTGAGTACAGAGCGTGCTTTTGTGGTCTGTTCTGAGAGATGCATCAAGTGAGGATTCCCGTGATACCGAAAATAGACAGGTGTTTCATTTGAATCGGCTAGAACAAGGCGAAGTCCAATTTTGCCGGAGCCAACCGTAAGCCTCCAAACTCAGCCTGTCCTGGAGTCCACGGAGTCTAAAGGATTCAGATTGGGTTGAGCGCTTTGGCTTTGCAGTCCAGCGGGTGTGCAAGGGATGGCACCGCCTGGCGATGAACATGCAGTAGCCCGGGCTGAACACATCCTGGCAGTGAGAGCGAATCGAACCCGAGTGTTCAGCGAATTGTCGACGTCAACAGTCTACGTCCAGGTCGAGGCATCTCTGAGTACACCAAGCTTCGAAGGGGAACTCTGAGTACAAGGCCCCGCCCAGGGCACTTGCGGTTCGAAGTTTTGCAATGTTCAGAGTGACCTCAGACGGTAACATGCGTTCGTCTTTGGGATGCCGTCTTCAGGATCAGAGAACTTACGGGTATGACATGGTCAGCACACGAACGAAATCTTCTCGCTTTGCAGGTTCAACACGCAAAGCTACAAAGCAAGCATTCAATCTGGTCAAGCTGCCAAGCAGGGTCACAGAGGCGACTACCGAATTTATCGATTTCAGGTTGGGCAGTGTGCAGCTCATTCTGACAGAGAAACGAAAGCCCTGTGTCTGTATCCCGTCCGCAATCATTCGTTTAGACCTGAC